TATTTATATGAGATAAGAAATTGTTTTCTTTATTATATCTAAGTCTAATCATATAACATTTTCCTATTCAGTTTTTCATGCTGATTCAGAATATAGTACTTTGGCAATACTCAGAAAAGAGCTGAAATAAAAATTTGGCAATTTTTGTAAGAAAAACAAAATTTAACATAAAAATATGTTTTTTCTCAGGTGTTCTCATTTCTTCAGATTTTCTCAGCCAGGCAGTAACTAAATCGAAATAAAAAGTATATATTCTTGATCAGCTTTTCAAGCTCTATCAAACCATATGTAAATAAGCGAGAAACAAAATTTACTCCAATTCTGCTTTAGCGGCACCTTACAAACATCTGGTTTTTTTTCTCATCAGTATTCAATAAAGGTTAATTAAACACATAAAAGAGCAAAGAAAACTATGCATTCGTTATCTAGTTATTTCTAGTAGAATTGAAAATAACGATTAAAATCAAGCATCATTACCAGTAAACTTTAAAACCCAAGTGCATTTTTTTTGTATTAGTCATTTTTATTCAGTTTAATAAAATTATTTCAAATGTCATCAACTGAACTCGATTCCTTTCGCACGTATTCAATTAATGTCTCGTTGAATGAAAGTATCGATCAACTTTATGGACAATTGTGTCGTTTATTTGGCAATACACAAATGTATTTTAGCAAAAGAAAAAAACTTCTTTTACAACTTGAAAGAAAAAAGAATCAATATCGACGAGCCATTGATCGATCAGATGTACAAAATAATAAAAAAAAAAGTGATGATTAATAATGATCTTATTCGATGCATAAAGAAAAGAATTATACATGAAGATCGCCAACAACGACAACAGATACGAGATGAACAAGAACAAAATAATAATTGGTCTATGGGTGGCATGGCTGCTCTAGTTGGTATAGCACTTGCAGGTATGAATACTGCCGCAACTTTTATAATAATGTTGTTACATGTTTCGAAAGAAAAGCAATTTTTAATTATATATTTATATAATATATTTTATTAAAGACTTAAGGAGTCTTTAATCATGATAAGGGGAAGTTTTACAGATTGATTAATCTTTCTACGGTTCTTTTTTACATAAAATAAATGAAGCATCACGATTTATTTATAATATCCCTGCAATCATTAGCATAATGATAGGGAAAAACGATTCGAATTGATAGATATTTTTATCACAGAGTGATACATACGTAATAACATATTTCTTTTTATCAAACTGAAGCATTGCTTTCCATTTTAAATACATCATCCATCATTCAAAATAAACCGCTATTAACGAAAATCATCTTGATGAATTTATTTTACAATTTATACAAAACTTAAACTAGAAGTCTTCCATGTTCACGATACTATTAACAATTCAACCATACAATTGCATTAATTAGTTAACTCACATTTATGGTTGTCATCACACAATTCTTTGTTTTCTTTTATAAGTTGAATTTTGTTTACCCATAGAATCAGAAGAGAGTTTTTCTCTGTTTCGATTTTTGACTGTTTTGAAGTTAGTTCTGAATAGATTGTCAATGATCATACATAGAAATCTGACGTTGACTTTTTCATACAAGCTTTCATCGGCTCGGTCACTGATGAATGAGAAAAAAAATAAAGCTTCGATTCTTTTTTCTATAAGAAAACTATATGTAAGACGATATACGTATGTATCTAAGCTTGATTTAGCCTACTCTAACTGTCCATGGGAGTGTAGTGTTGATGTTGCTCTGCTTCAGACAATAACCAGTAGCGCATCAGCATATACTCGCCACCTGTTTCTAGAGTTTGATCTGCCAGAAGCAACATGGATCGATGTTTAGGAAAGAAATATTGGTCATAGAGGTATTCTCTAATGGGAATTTCGAAACTACAATTACTCTCTATTAGATATTCATTGTTAGTCTTGATAGTATGAGATATCGTTGTGGGAAGTAGGAGAACTTTTGTTTCTTTTCTAATTAGTAAAGAATTAGTCAGTTGATTATATTGAACTCTATCAATCCCAAACATCTCATATAGTCACATTTCAATGTTCTTCTATATGCATAGTTAACTCGCTTTGCTACAGCTAATCGGATTCATTGTCGATTATGTTTCGATCAATACATAGCTCTTCATTTTTTTTCAACAAACTAGAATTTCTTCTTTCGCTGACCTTCCACGAAAATAATTTTATGACAAGACAACCATCCACAAGTGCTTGATAGTAACACGCCAACAAAAAGTTTGTTCGAAACAGTAAAGTGTATTATCTCAACAGAATCCTTGCTAGTCGTCAGTAGAAAAATGTCAAGAGTGGTGAATTCAAAATAATTGAATGCGAAAATAAAACTTCTATTCGCGATAAAGAAATTACTAATCTAAGAACTACCAATATATTCTAAAAGAAAATAAGATGTAAGTATTTCAAATAATGAAAAATCAAGCGAAATGAGTATCACCCACCAGCCATTCATTGTAACACCCAACAGCTAGTGAAACTTTCAACAACAATATAGAATCAATTTCTTCAATGTATAGTTATCGGTATTATAGTTTAGCGCACATTTATGTTGAAAACATTCAAGTTGACTTCTAGATAGTTTTTGCTGTTTTTTCATACAAAGTTCATAAAGTCTATATTAGAGTTCAAAGGTTCTGAAAACGCCATTCATCGTTACTTAGCCACGTGCTGAATCCGAAAATAATGCCACCACCAAATATGCATGCTGTAGTAATGTACGATCCAACCAGAAGATGTGTCATACCTGCATAGGAAACAAACAAAAGAGAGATTTATAATTGTTCTGAGTTACTAAACATGCTTCAAGTTGTCTACCTGAAATGCCTTGACCACTTGTACACCCACCAGCACATCGTGCTCCTAACAATAGTAGAAAGCCTCCAACGAGACTACTAACTATATTAGCTCCGTTTTCTGCACCCAATGGAATTGTTTGCGATAAACTTGATGATAGAGCACTACCAGCTATTGCTCCGAACGCAAAAAGAAGAGCTACATGATTCTTCAATCCAAACGCAAATGAATTCAATGATGGTAGTGCTTGACCAATCGTTGTAATTCGACACAATTGGGCTGCAAACACAGTAAATGCTGATGAAGCTCCTAAGGATTTCTCAAGAAAAAATATGAAAAATAATTGTAACAAGCCAACACCAGCACCACAAATCGATGGTGGCCAAGCAGCCATACCAAAAATGTGGCCAAATGTTCTCTCTGGATTCAGAGTACCTTTTCTCAAAAGATTATCATTGAGATCCGATTTCCAAGAAACAACAAATTCTAGACCAATCGATATACCAAGAAGTAAGACACCGAATACTATGTGAAAAACAACACTAGGAATATGTAATAGATCAGACACACGCCGAAGGACGAGAGATGTCGATGGAAATTTTTCACGTGAAACACGTTCATGAACAAATATATAGTAGAAATAGGTTCCAAGAAGACCACCCAAACAAGTAAATAACGAATTGATAATACCTGAACCACTAAAACACATCAACATAGAACAGATATTTTAATCTGAGATTTTGAAAAAAGAAGCATACTAACACTTGAACGAATACTGTTCCTGGACAACTACCACATGTTACCATGCCTAACCCGATTAGAGTTCCGCCAAGAAGATAATGAAGAACTAAAATTTTCATTTTTAACCGAAATGAATCTTTGAATAAACAAAAACTAAAAGCTTACTTCCACGACGACTGTTATGTTCAATATAACCATTGAGGATTTTTGTATATAATTTATTACAACAAAGACTAAGTAACGCCACACTCAACATGGACGTTCCAACAGCAGCAAGAAACATTTTCAGCATTGCAAAACGTTGAAATAACATTTGTTTCCGAATAGTTGGAGCTACAAATACAGTACCTTTGTTCATAAAGAATCCAAATAGCATTCCAAATATAATAGCATATAAAATAGTGCTAATATCAGAAAAACGTGCTGTCTTGTCGTTTGAAAGCTTTGTAGAGTTTTTACTAATATCGAGTTTAGATTTATTTTCATCACTTAAATAATAAGAAAAAAACAATATGAATACATATTTAGAGGCTCGACTCTTCATTATAAAAATTGAACTCACTCAGAATGTTTGCCGTTTGTTCGTAGCATTTTTGTATCCTCGGAGCCAATAGGTCTTTCTAATACTATTTTGTCGTTGTCTTGATTCTCCATGTTTGTTCGTAGCATCATAAGTGAATGTGACAAAGTATAATAATTACTAATATGTTCGTGAATGAAGGACAGGAAGAAGAAAAACACAACATGCGTATAAATGTAAAGCAATGGGTACATATATAATGTCTCAGGGTGAAAGAAGGAAAGAATCAAAACGCATTATGTCTGACTCACTCACTGAATGGCATCAGATGTCGGCTTAAGCTACGTAAGCAAGCCACAATTCAATACTGTGTGACGATGTTCTCTAAAAATGTTTATCATTAGTCGTAGAAAGAAAAAATAGTACACAGCTGCTATAGCCAATTTTCTAACTGCAAATTGCCACATGCTTGATATTAGAAGACATATTCGGCAAAAATTTTGTTGTAGAGAAACAAATCCTGTCCGAGATAATGAGGATGTGAATGAATGAAAAGAAAGTCTTATACGATTCAAATATTTTTGTTCTTATGCACGTTCTGTATATCTGTCAATATATTGAAGTAAAACAAAGTTTAGCGATGAACGTGCGATAAGTTATAATGTTGACAATGCAATATTTTGTTGTCGTGATAACAATAGTGTTTCTTTCACTATCAGAAAGTGAATTTATTGAATAGTGTGTTGTTCTACTGCCTTTATCGACTCACCTCTAGAGTACCCACTTTTGTTAAGCAAATAATCGGTACAAATGAGGGGCACGTAAATGCTATATAAAGGAGCACAGTAAAATCATCCAATGTAATAACTAAAAAGACAAATTATTTGTTCAAGGTAGCTACTTTTTTCTTTTTCTCTTCTTGTTGCACATGTGCAACTGTACGTTTTACTGATTCTTGGCATTTTAGCTATCCCGGTATTCGATTTATAACTCGTTGAATCGAATCTAAAATGGTGCAAAATTATATTTTTCGACAAGTAGGAATGAACCTTTTTTTCTAACTAAACCTAAACAACTCACTGTTTTTGTGCGTTTATAAAAGCTTTTTGAACCTGTATCATCAACCTATACATATTTATTGGCTGATTCAACGACAAAAGAAGCTTTAATTATCGATCCTGTTATTGATACTGTTGAACGAGACGCAAAACTTATTCAACAATTTGGACTCAATTTACGATATGCAGGTACTAGCAAAATTTACTTCTGAAAAATGATTAAATCGTCTCTATTTTAGTCAATACACATGTTCATGCTGATCATATAACAGGAAGTGGGAAACTGAAAGCATTATTTCCAGGATGTCAAAGTGTTCTTTCGAATCTAAGTGGTGCTAAAGCAGATATCTATCTAAAAGATGGCGAATTCATCAAAATTGGTGAATCAGGTAAAACACCATTGGCACTTGAATGCCGAACAACACCTGGGCACACAAATGGTGAGTAGGAATTCAAAAAGAATTCAATCGAATGAGACAACAAAATGATTTCAGGTTGTATGAGTTTTGTTTGGCATGATTATGGAGCAGTGTTTACAGGTGATGCTCTTCTCATTCGTGGTTGTGGTCGAACTGACTTTCAACAAGGAAGCTCTGATGAACTTTATACATCGATACATACGAAAATATTTACATTGCCCGATCACTATCTTGTTTATCCAGCACATGATTACACAGGTATTTCATTGATTTTCTTTTCACATCAAGAATTGTTTAGACGAAATTCATTTATGTATTTAGGACAAACATGTTCAAGTGTTTCAGAAGAGAAAACTCTCAATCCACGAGCTACTAAATCAAGAGAAGAATTCATTGAAATAATGTCTAATCTTAAACTTAGTTATCCGAAACAAATAGGTAAACTCAGTGGAATACTACTCTCGAGAGACGAAACTTCTATTTAAATTTCTTTTAGATAAAGCACTTCCCGCAAATATCGTTTGTGGACTACAAGGAGACGTTTAATGCAGTGTTTATTTTTACATTTTGTTTGTGTCACAGATTTTATCTTAACAAAATATTCGATTGCTGAAAATATGAAAATTTACTCTTAAAATAAAAAAACGGAATCGCTCTTATTTTAAAAATTATTATGATTTGCTTTTACAATAATAGAATAGAGTTTGATTCAAGAGAAATTAAAGACTTTTAGTAGAAATCAAGCATTTACTTTATCATTGTAGAAATAGAGGTGTGAGGGTGTGTGGCCTTTTAGACCTTGTAGAGTGACACGAGTGAGACGATCACTGTTTGTATAATGCAGCGTATCTTTCGAGGTATTATACAATCCACAGAATCTCGTTTCTGTCTGTCTCTCTCTGCTTGATGATATTGTATTGTACGTATGTATGCATGCGCATCTTAATATGATCGTTGTTCTACGTGTTTTCTTTACATATGCGCATAAAGATATATTAATTTTTTTGTATTTCTATCGTTAGTTTCTTATTTTTTCTAAATTGAGCTCAATGCTAATTTAACTATTTCTTATTGAATTAGTTCTATGGCATCAGCTAATCGATTTTGAATGAATTTCAGTCTCGTAGAAATAGTCCTGCGCTTCATGTTTTTCATTCATAAATGACATATTTATGTAGCTCTGATTATGATTTCATACTCTAAAATACTCTTAAAAAATCGAGACAAAATTGCAATCATGTTTATTTTTCGACTCGTATCGTAACAAAATGTATGCATTGATTAAAAAACCAATCTTTAGAAGCATTCAGCCATGAACACACCATTACATTTGAGGTCGATGTCCTTCTTTTTGCGTAAACAAGGCAATCAATCAAGCTCAAATGGTGACTATAACATCTTGTCTACAATCAGTAACTATAGAAAAAAATAAGTGGTAATCTATCGAAAAACAGATTCACAGCAGATTTTTTGTCTAGTAGCCATACAATATTTTAAATGTTCTTCGATAACAAATTTTATTTTAGAGCCATAACAAATTTCTTTGTAGATACAAAGAATAACAATAGCTAAAAAAAGCAATGTTAAACGGCCCCTTTAAACATATGATATTGTTTAAATTGTTGATGAAGTTGCTTAAGTAATTCACGTTCAGCAACAGACATTTGACCACTATATTGTTCGACACGTTCTCCACTTATTCGAAATAATTCAAATGCTACACCATTTAAAGTTTTCTAGAAGTATTGAAATAGATATTTCGAAAAAATAAATTTACAAAACAATTATTATTATTACTTTAAGTGCAGAAGACATGAATACGCCTTTAGATAATAGATGAACATAATCAATAAGAACATAGACAATAGTAGAACGAAAATCTTCTTTGCATTGCTCAATAAGGTGAGCAGATAATCTAGATAGAGAATTTGACATAAATAAAAACAATATGATAGATTATTTACTTTGTTATATCACGTGCTGCTTCAATTAAATCTTCTTCGGTTTGTTGTTTTTCTTTTGCTTGTGTAATAACAGATTGAAGAAGTACTATAATGAAATAAATAAATAAAACAATAAAACGAAAGGTAAATTCTTACATTTAAGAATAGTTTCTACTATAGGCACATGTTTGCACAATGTTGCTGTATGATGTTTAATCAACAAAGAGACAAGTTTACAAATATTTGAATGTTGTAAAAATAAAATATCCATTGGTAAATGAAGACAGCATTGAAGTAAACTTAAAGCTATTTGAGAACGTAATTGAGCCTAAATAAATTTTAATAATCAATTAAGATTTTGAATAAAAAGTAATATATATATATATATTCATACCTTCTTCGCCATTAGAATATTATTTGCAAACATGAAAACAAAAGAAACAACTTGAGAAAGTCGTGAAGATTCCATCGGAAGATGAGTTAATAATGAACCGCATTTAGTGAGAGTCTATAAAGAAAAATTCAATCAAATTTAAACAATTAACACTTTACAGGACGCTAAGTTCTTTTCTAAGGTAAGAACAATTGCCTCTAGACGAGAGATAAACTAGAATTACTACAGTTAAGCGATCGTATTCGTGAAATCTGACAATATAAAATACATGACAACTGAGATGCAGCGCAAATTCACGAATTTTTGAAATCTCTTCCTAGAAAAGCTGTCACTATGGGCATGCCGTCTACTCTAGACATTTAAGAAGTTGTAGAGGGAATCGGTACATGGTTATTGCGAAGATTCAAGTGCAAACATCGAGTTCACTGAGAGTTATGTCGTGAGGGAGAAAGAAAAATGTTTATTTTCATTTCAAAGCGCTCTTTCTGGTAAAATTTAAATCAAACAGAAAATTCATACATATTTAATAGTAAGAAAAGAAACCTGTTGCAATGAGATTTTTGTCAAAACTAGTAATCTTCTGATTTCACTAGCAATTTTTCACTTGCTAAAAACTGTTTAAGAATTGAATGAATATTAGTAAATAGTTGCGAACAAACAAAAAAAAATCTTCTTACAGAATTGAGTATTGTCATTAAATAAATGTTTTGTTCTTTATTTAGCGAACAATGAGTTAATGTTTGTAATAGTTGAAATGCTTGTTGACAATTATCAATATTGTCTGCTTGATCTTCTAATGGAATTTTCTATAAAAAATAATTTAGAAAAAAAAAGAAAATGAATAGAATTTATTAGTATTGACTCACTATATTTTGAATGGAATTTTCTATCCATTGTTGAAATTGATTTTGATCAATTGCTTGAATAACTTTTGATATTAATTCATATTGATCATTCAAACATTTAACTAATGAATTGATATCATCTATTGTTGAATTTGATTGAAAAACGTCTACCCAATGTTTTGCATAGGAAATAACGACTTGTTTTAAATTATCATTTTCATGAATTTCTCTTGCAATAGATTTCCATGTTTGTTGAAGATAGATTAGATATTTATTATATGATGATACACTATTTAATATTATCATTGCTATAATATAGCGTGTATCTAAAGCCGAATACGATATCGATGAATGAGTTGACGAATTAATTAAACGATCAATGATTGAGCAAAGATCATTCGAAGATATTAAATAACGACTATGATTAAATAATAGAAGATGTTTTTCTAATAAACGAATATTTTGATAGTCTTCATTGGACTTCATTGTATTAATAATTTGATTGGCTTTTGTTTTTACGATTGATTGATAATTTTCATTAGCAGATAGAACTGTTAATACTTGATCAATCATGTTTTCATTGTTTGTATTCAAAGTAAATTCTAATAAATGATTGATCAATAGAAGTGGTAAAACTTTTGATGAATGAATTATATCAAGAAGTATTTGCATAGATTCTAAAGATACCGGTGCAGTATTTAATGCGAGCCAACCAATTGATATCAACAAGCCAGGTGTTTGAATACTCTCAAAAGTAACCGTAGTAAATAGCTAAAAAGATAAATAAAATAATTTGATGAAAATATTCTGTTAGAAAATGATGCTGAAGAATAGCTTTTGAGAAGGCATTTAAATGCAACGTCGCCTATGTGTACATATTGAGCTGGATGATTAAGCGAAATCGACAAGTATGAAACACCCCTATGTGAGGTTGAGATCAAATTAATCCTATAAACGTTCATTATCATACAAAATCCTTCTCGAGCAATTCCTATTTTACTGACGCTCCAGCTTCTGACGATGTATTAGCTGAGTTTTTCTTTTTTTCACGAGCCTTATCAGGTGCACAAAAAGACTTTGCACTACAATTTATCCTCACGGAATGCCGCTTATTTTAATTTTTCATCTCAAAACCTTCCAACTGAAGTTTATTTTGAGACTTACTGAGATGATTTTCCCATCAATTGTACATGATTTTGTTTGTAAATGATCATAAAATGAACTAAAATTAGACGTGTACAGCACATTGAATTTTATGTTATAGAAAAACTTACTCAATATTTTCTTCAAAATCAATTTTTCGTTTCTTTTTGATTTGAGAATCATCACTACAATTTAAATACGTAGTAGAATTGTTTTTTCCTAATATAATTATTTACTGAGAATTAGTTTCTATAGCATATTCAACAGATGCTTGAACAATTAATCGAAGACGATCTTCATTCGATATAAACCAAGTGCGATCAATACTTTAAGAAACGAAAGATTCATTCTTTATTTATAAAATTTTAAAAAGTATCTTTTTACTTCGGCTTTTCAATAATATGTCTTATGAATAATTTGACCAATTTCAATTGTTTTGTTTTTGGTAAAAAATCAAAAAATGGTTCCAGTTGATCAACGACTGTTGTCGATGAAAATGATGATAATTCAAGCAAATTTTCGATGAATTTCGGATCAATATCGTTTTCATTTACTGCTAATGCTCGATATAAACGTTGACATGCAAGAGAAAACTTCACAAAAGAAGAAGAAAAAATAATTTTTCATATGAATTTAAAAAAACGTAAACATACCAATATTGGTTGTATTTCAGTATCAGCTTGTAGAGATATCCATTGTGTCTGAGAAAGCAACGGACCATTATGATTATATAGATCATAAACAGGAGGAATCGATGATAAAAATGATGTCAGACATAATGAAAACCAACCTAACGATAGATAACATTGAAGAATACAAATACGGTGAGTTGCATTTGACGATGTTGACTAAAGTTTAGAAGAAAAATTTCTTTACATTTCAATAAAATCACAAGATTGAGACATTCAGTGAGCTTGATAATGAGAAGTATTTAAATATACATATGCTTGTTGTTAGATCTTCCTTTCCCATTTATGAACACGCTATCATTAGTTTAGTCTACAAAAAGTTATTTAACGAAAATTAAATTTAAAATCTGTATCTTCACTATGTTTTTCTTGTATGACATTATGTGGTTCCTTTTTGTATCACAAAATGCCCAAAAAAGAACATGACTATAAATTCATGCGAGTCTACGCGCATGAGATTTAGCAGGTAGATTTCTTTAAATGGTATCTTAGAATTTTAAATTAATTAAAAAATGTCGTGTTCAATTGCACTTGAGTGTTCTATCACGATGGTTACCGGCTAATCATGGAAAGTGCATCAAATTCTATGATATTGCAATCTACTTCGATACATTTCAATTATGGATAAGTAAGTCATCAGTTCTTTTTCCTTAGTAAAAAATTGATCTACCACGATTTCAAATTATTTGGTCAGTACTGTTTTTTAACTCGATTGAAGTCAATACAAAAAAGGAAACAATGCTGCAGGGTCGTTTAACAGTTGAAAATATTGAAATATGCTTCTATGTACCCCTTTCTGTTCCATTTATTCAAATAAATCCTCATGTACAAAGACTAACATAACTTTATATGAAATATTCTAAGGGTTTCTACCAGTCGATTGTATTGTTCTATCCAAGCAAAATTCAATTTCCAAAATATCCATCGTGCTAATCAAAATCCACACAAAAATTAATTATCGTTACTCTATAAGATTTTGTTCGCTAATATTTCAAAATATTGTTCCACTCTTGTCAAAACAAGAAATCGAAACTATTCAAACATACCATGATTTCATTAACCTGTTGGCGTAATTTTTCTAATGTTCTATCGTATTTTATTTTGCTTTGTTCTATTAAAGTAGCATGGGAAATATTTAAATCAAATAAACGATAACCATCCAGAAGTGCACTAATTAATTGAATAATAATAAAATTTATTCTATTATTATCTAATTGATCTAATAATGATAACCAAATTTCATCGATTAATGTATGTGTACATTCTGATGTGCATTTTCGATAACTAAAATATTTAAATATTTAAAAAACTTTCATCATTGAATTTACGTACTGTTTTAAAACTTGATCGGGAAGAATAATTGATGTATCAAATGCAATACTTAAACGTTTAGTAAATTTTGGTAAAGATCTCATTCGAGAATATAAATCAATATAACCAATAAGAAATATTGAAAGACATTGATTAGAATGACTAAATAATTTCGTTAATTCAGATAAATTTGTTTCGACTAATGTCGGATGAAGGCAAAGACAAACAACAGATAGATTAGCATAATTTTCACTTGTATGTTCAAATGAACGTTTAAATAAAATATCTTTCATCCAATTTGTTATTCGTTCTTCTAATGAATTATTTAATAATTGATCGATTAAATGTTTTTCATCAAGAATCTACAGATTATAGTGAGAGCAAACAAAACAAAAAGCGTATTTTTAATACAAAACTAAAATAATTTTCTTTACTCGAAGTAATTGACAAATACCATCAATATATAAATTTTCATTTTCAATTTTTTCAAGCCAAGTATTCATTTGAACAAGTAACTCAAATATATCAGATACTTTTTCTCTAAATATTACATTCACAATCGATAAAAGCAAATCATTCTATTCGGTTTGACTTACGGATCAATTAGATTAATACAATGACGAAAGACAAGCGGAAGAAAATTGATAACATTTGAATTTCCCTATATAATAAAAACAAGAAATATTGAAATTGTTTTTTGTTGAAAAATGATTTATTCATCATACTGCACGAATCAGTGTTTCAAGTGCCGTGAATAAAGGTGATACTGGACATGAAATTGGTTTAGTTGCGGATATCGATTGTATATATTCACGATAAGCAGATATCCATGTTCTAAATAATTTTAAAATATTTCGAATTATAATTTTAAATCACCAAAGTAGTTTTACCTATGGAAGAGAATATGTTTGAGAATATCATCAATAAGAGGTAACAATGATGGATAAAGTGAACGACCATCCAATAAAGGAGAAAATAATTGTTTCGATAAATCAAGAAATACCTAAAAGAAATAGACTTTAAATTGTTTTTTTTTTGTTCGATTATTATTGAAGAAACTAAAAAATATATTCAGGTTCTACCCAGATTTGAACTGGGGTCGCTGGATTCAAAGTCCAAAGTGCTAACCGCTACACCATAGAACCACGTTTATTCGGCCAAATATATTTCANAACCGCTACACCATAGAACCGTGTTAGGATTTCGTGATTATTTTGTTAGAATTTGTCAGAATATATTTGTTCAATCAATAAAAAAAAATCAGGTTCTACCCAGATTTGAACTGGGGTCGCTGGATTCAAAGTCCAAAGTGCTCTAGAATATTCATAAATAATATTCACACATTAATTTGATTCTGATTTCAAGAAAAAAACATAATCTTCATTATTTTAGAAGTAATCTATAACCGCTACACCATAGAACCATGTTTATCTTCTATTGTTTTTTTGTCTAAATAGCTACTTCGACTTATTTTTTAGAAGTTATACATTTTTGCACGAATGATCATCATTTATTCAAAATCAAATTACCAGTCATATGTAGACGACAGTGAATATGATTTATGACATTCAAAATAATATGAACGTATATTTTTTTCACAAAATAAACAAAAAACAGATTCTAATCTCTAGCCTACGCGTATAAGCTATACAAGCAATCGACTTGTTTCAGAAGCACGGATGTTCGGTACGAATAAATATTTTAGTATACATTGTAACATATGAAACTAAATAGGCATTAAAAAGATTACCATTAGGGGTGGTACGTTTACGTTAATTTAAAATTAACGTTAACTAAAAGCGTCAGCCCTTAATATTAAAGAATGAACGTTTTGAGCAAAACCGTTACCGTTAATATTAACGGTTAACTGAAACGTTAATTCGTTAATATTAACGCTTTTAGTTAATTAACGCCGTTAATTAACTCGCATTAAATTGAATGGTCCATTCCTAATTACCATTGAAAAAATATAATCCAGGTTCTACCCAGATTTGAACTGGGGTCGCTGGATTCAAAGTCCAAAGTGCTTTAGTATATTCAATAATAACGAAATCAAAGAACTACGGCCAGGCCAATGAAAATATTATTCATGTTGACATTGGTTCGATGGATTTTGTAGTATTACACTAATATACGGGCAACTATACTTTGACTAAAGATTGAGATCGTTATGCGTTAGACGAAAACAATAGCAAAATTAATGAGGGAAGTTTCTCAAATGTCAAAACCCCTTCCAATGAGACTTAGGCTCATGATAATAAATATTCTAAAGGCACTTTCTGGTTCCTAGCATTCTATTGCTATACTATTGCACTTTGGTAGTGTCCCATGACGTCCCTCATAGATATTAGAAAGCTGCCATTCTGAATTTCATTTAGAAGCTTGGCAAAACGAGAGATTTTTAATGAAAATACTCTACTGTGACGAGTTCTCATCGAATGACTTGTTGAGCTATGAAATAACGATTTCAGAAGCTATCATTGCATATACGCAATCTTATAGATCGAGTTTTCTTCTTCGCTATTATCTTGTAAAAGAAAAGAGCGAAACGGTGTCTTGTGATTCCTAAAAGAATCATGAAAATAAAAAAGCTAATCATTTGCATCTCTTTCTAGAACATTTATCACTTTTTCCAATCTACATGATATGTTTATGTGTCCTCAAAATTTCGATTGCTTCGAATCAATACTAATGATTTGCACAGATATCTACAATTTTACGTAGTTTGTTCTTAACATTTTGGCTAGATAATCAAACAGTATAGCACCACTTTAGAAACATAGATTGCAAAATGTGAAATATTTGAATAAAACCTTAACCGCTACACCATAGAACCACGTTTATTCGGCCAAATATATTTCAAGAATAACATGTCACATCATATATACTTAGATACCTAGTCAATCAAATTTTTTTAAACTTAACTCCTGCTTACACTCAAACTAATATTAAAATCGAACGAACATATTCACCAAAAACTTAATTTTTCTTAACTTAACGAAAAATAAAAATATATCAACGATCAGTTAACTGTTCGACTCAAACAATGGCATCACTAATACTTCCGATGCGATGTAAAATGTATCGATCAGGTTTCAGTTAAGAAAAGCTAAACTTATTCTATATAATAGAATAAAGTTTGGTATGAAGTGCGTTTTAATGAAGTTTTAGAATAAAAAGAAATTATTCAGGTTCTACCCAGATTTGAACTGGGGTCGCTGGATTCAAAGTCCAAAGTGCTAACCGCTACACCATAGAACCACATTAATCCTCGGTGGTTAACAACATAGAC